ACAAAAGGAAAGTGTACGGAGTATTTTAGAGGTGTACTTAATCGATCGCAAATGTCGTTTTGTGGATATATCTGTTTATCTTGACGTATTTTGCAGGAATTTTTAGCATGCGTTTTCTCGCTTCTGACGTCATTAAAAAGAGATGGATGGTACGACTCCCCAGGAGCCTTAAGGTTTGAGTCAGAAAGAGATAAAGAGAAAGAAGCAGGAAGCAAAGAGCATATTGTAGATCAGTTTAATTGCTTACTAAAACATAACTATCAGTGTGATTGGTTACGAGATCTTGAAAATCACATTCACAAAGAATTATCTCTTTGTAAAAGCACAGAACGAACACACTTTGTTGATAAAATCTAATAGAATTAAATAAAGAACAAATTAATTGTGAGATTTGTTTTATAAATATATTTCATATCTTATACGTTCGAAAAATAATCTATTCTTTTTTATTGCATTAATGTATGTAAGTGTTGTCCATGTCAATAAAAAGAAGCAATTTATATTTCTTGACTAAAATTCCGAATTTTATTGTGAAATGATAAAATATACAATTCTATTTTTACAAATAAAGTTCATATAGATATATGAGAATAGTTTATCGTTATTTTGTCAAATGTTTAAGAAAAGTCTGTTTAAACACATAACATATATTTCTTCGTTCGTTCATTCTTTATTTCTTTCTCTTTCTTTCCCCTCCCATTTTTTCCATTTACTCTCAAAACAAAAGAAACCGGTACCAGCGATTTGAATCTATAAAGCTCCAGTAGATTTCATAATTCGTTAACTGTCGTTAACGATGCGCAAATATAGTATATGCTAGAAGAGATACGCAACGATATATAATGCTAGTGATATTGTCGTTAACGACAGTTAATGACAAGTTACAGAATCACACCATAGTGATGCGTCGGAAATGTTCAGACTATTTTACAGATTTGCTTAATCGATTGTAAGTGTTGCTTTACGGATGTATCTTTTTATTTCAATGTATTTCGCAAGAATCTTTAGTATATGTTTTCTTGTTTCTAAAAAGTCATTAAAAAGAGATGAACAATACGAGTATTCAGGAGCCTAAAGAGTGAATTCATTTTCGAGGAAACAACGTCAATCACAGTGTGTTACATTATTAAATAAGATAACTACTGCCCTTTAGCACAATGAGATATTTGTTCAATATATATATACAGGGTGTCCCGCATAAGACATGCCAAAAGAAAAATATAAGTAGAACAGATAAGACTGAACAAAAATTGTAGAGGTCATTTTTCAAACAACCACGTAAAATTTCGAGATATTAATAAAAATAGTTGGACAAATTAGAGCGCGCGATGCGACGGGCGAGATATACGGCTCGCCGCGACCGGCGAAGAAAATGGACGATTGCGCGCGGCTCAATTTCATAGGCCAGAGAGGTGGGCCATTTGCTAGCATATGGAAATGGAAAGCTCCGTATATGCGTCCGTGTACGTATGCACTCTGAACGTCGGGCGACGAGTAACAGAAGGAGGTAGATATATGACGTTCCATCTCTTTCTCTCATGCACACGTTATTCTTTTCACAGTGACCGTCACGGCAGCGATGCCTGGGCACGCGGCTTCTACGTACAGAAAGAGGAGCCAAGTACGCTTAGCGCTT